AAAACAAGTTTGATTCAATATCGAACTTAGAAGTTGGGTTGTGCCTTCTTAAACATGTTTTTGTTCATTCGAAATCGGCATGGGGTTACTTTAAGAATAGCCTTAAAATCGTTGTTAGTCAATTAACCAATTAAATATAATGATCTAAACAACAAGAGAACTTACTTACATATGATATTGTTTTTATGTGACCATCAATCATGTCAGCTCGTTAAACTAAACATGTTCGGTTGGGTTGAAATTTTTAACCTATTCAATAAATGGGTTAAACCCAAACCCAACCCAACCCAACTTAACCTAACCTAACATGACTTATTTTTATATTTAACTCCACAAAACATTACATATACACATCAAACCATGGGTTATGACCTTACATCTTTGCTCTCAATAGGTGAACCCATACCCCCAAATGATATGGAAACACCATGCATCAGTAGCTATTATTGCAAGCAATATAACATGATACCATTATGGTATAAGAACTATAAGTAACATCACCTCAAAAAAATTCATAGTTTAACATAAATATTAAATAGTAATACACATCAATAACATCACCAAATATATTAATAAAGTATAGTATTATAATCAACATCTCAACACACTATAAGTAGTATACATACACACACACACACACACACATATATATATATATATATATATATATATATATATATATATATATATATGGAATAAAAACACAATAACATGTAGGGCGTGTTCGACACGGAGCGTTTGAGAGCTTTTAGCTTCTAGCGTTTGACAAAACACTCTGTTTTGAACAGAAAGCCTTGTTTTGCACTACAAGCTTCTAGCGTTTAGTTTAAACAAAACGCTCCAAATTCAAATGCTACTTCATGTAGCGTTTAACAAAACGCTACAAGCTACAAGCTACCCGCTACCCGCTAGCAGTTAATTTTGCCGAACACGCCCGTAGTCAACGAGTTTACTTTTAGGGGATGTGATCTTAGAAAAGTTATATACTCACTTTAGAAACTCTAAAGGGAAACTACTAAGACCCTCGTGCACTTTCAAAAAGCAAAACATCATCGATAAAGCATAAAATACTATAGACTATATAAAACTACCACATGAAAGCCTAAGAACATCATAAGTGGACATGGTTTATGGTATAGCTTTTTAGAATGCTTTGTAGGATAGACCATGTTGCATCACCTGAGACGACCTTCCTAAATGACTTGTATATCTATACAACATCCAATATAACAATTATTCCTTTAGAAATAATTTGTATGATCTAGAAAAGGTCACCATAAGATCATACCATATACCATATAATCATGTCATAAGCTCTAGACAACCATGCCATTTTCACTTGAAAACACCCTACTTGAATTTTGTACGCCATTATCTATGGCCTCAAACAGTTGTACCAAAGTTATGAAATAAACCCCTATGCCTATGCCAAAAGTCATGGATGTTCGTACTAGGATCCGTACAAACTTACACAATATTGCATTTTCGTATCAATAGTAATACCATGTTGTCCACGTTTTTGTTTTCCCAAATGTTATGAGAAACACTAAATAATACGATCAAAATAAGAGTAAAACAATAACCATTGACTTATATTATTCAAATAAATACAACATAATCAATCAACATAAACAATACTAATGATACGACAACACATACATATCCGGATGATAGTGTACGTCCAAATGAGAAGATGGTATCTTTCATTCCAACGATAACCAAAACTGGGCGATTACAAAACACAAATACAAAACTACAATGTTGCTATGGTGTAACACCTACTAAACCTCTCCCCCAAACATGATTGTGTTGTGTTTCCTAACTCTCTAAATCAAAGCAGTTTACTTCTCAAAAACTGATTACAAAAAAAAAAAAAGTCAAACAATTTATACTCTCTTAAGCCTCCTAAAAGTCATGTATGTCGTATTTGTATCACCTTTAGACAGGTGGAGTCGGTATTTTTTGATGGTATGAATAGGGGAGGACGAGCCTAAAAAGAAGCGAGAATATCATATTAGGTTAGATGTTTATTTCAAAAGACATGATCTAAGTAGAAGAGTGTGGAGACTTAGAATTAATGTATTTGAGTAGTGTTGGTCCTTCTTCTTTGTTACAAGAGTGTGGTTTTCTTTTGGCATATACTTTTTACTTTTTATTTTATCTTTCTCCTTTGTTCCCTCCCCATTAACTGTATTGAATTTAGTTTCATGCATTTTAAAATTTTACAAGCCAAATCCATCCCCAAAGTGAAAAAGTGAGTAAAAGGCCGAAGGGGTCGGCAAGCCCAAACCAAAAGAACAAATCTTTCTTGAAATGAAAAGTTGAAAGTGAAACGGGTTGTTTTCTTTATGATTTCACCAACCGACATGTTCCAATCAACCCCAATAATGTAGAGAAATGAACCAAAATGAAAAAAAGTGTCTAAAGGCAGATGGATAAATACGACAATTCAAAAGGGGTCGGCAATCAAAACTCGATTACAAGAACCCACTTAAAATCCGACGTACCTCCATGTCCAAAAACAAGAAAACCCTACCATCCCAAATCCAATTCCAATTCACAAAATTCAAACACCCACGTCACGGATTTACAAGTTTCCGTGTAGATTACCATTAATCAAACACAAGTCATCGTTTGTTTGCCATAAATATACAGATACACGATACATATACACAACAAGTCGAGTGAATTCACACCTTCAATCCTCATGTTCTTCACTTTCAGCTTCTTTCAGTTACAGGGTACGCTTTCGTTGATCCTAATTTCCATCTTCTTTTATGCTTTCTTGAGCTTAATCATATGATTACACTAATTAGTAATTACCCATTTCAATTTCTTTATCTATTTTCGTAAAACCACTTTCTTTAAAGCGGATATACTTGGTCAAAGAACTGCGTACAAGCTACGTATCAATTTTTCTTGTGGATAGGATAATAGGAAAAAAGGGTTACTTTTTTTCATTTCTCTTTCTTTGTTTGAGTGATCATCTGATTTTGGGTATCTTCCTGATTGTGCCAGCAGATTTGATATTGACAAAAAGTCAGTTGAGATAAACTTTTGGGTGTTCGATCATATCATTCATCAATGGCGGAAATGATTGGTCCGAGATTATACTGTTGCTGTAATTGTCGAAATCATGTTGCCCTTCACGATGATGTTATTTCTAAAGCTTTTCAGGTAAAGTAAAGGTTATTAAAGAATTACGGATCAAATTCTTCAACTACACTTCATTCATGCTTTATCTGTGAAGTCCTTTTTAGATCAATTGTGGGTTTTTACAATTCTTGAAATGGTGGATTCTTTTTATCCAACACATTTGACCCAAATCGATAGTGGAAACAAGTAACTAAAGATGAAAAAGGATTAAAACTTAAGCTATAGATGAATTTTATGCACTTAATGTTGTTCGATAGATCAAATAATCAACAAGTATCTGCATCTTTGTACTATTATTAGGTGTATTATGTCATATAAGCCTTATCATCCCTATGCAAACATATAAATATGTAAATGAGAAAATTCTTAAACCTTTTCTATGATTGTTGATCTGGGTTTGTGGCATTTAGTTCCAAGAAACAGAAACCATGAAATAACATGAGAAGTGGTAGACTATTTTGAGTAAAAGGATGTTTCTTGATTTAAATCTATGCTTAGAAAGAGGGGATTTTTGTTGTTTTTCATGATATTTCTGTTATGTAGATTCTTGATGTGGATTGGGCTCTTATGTGGGCCACTATGTACTTTGATTTATGTAAGTCATCTAGTGGTAAGCTATGTACCTAGTTGATGCTCCTAGTACAAGTCAGTGTCAGGAGTTGTATCTGATTTACATCTCACAAAATGCTCTTGGGACTGAGCAGTAGCTCAACTCAGGGTTTGTAGGGTTTGTTGGAAAAACAACTTTTTTTTACTAAAGTTATGGTGATGCGTTAGCTATTATAATTGTGGATTTTAAAGGTACTTAACATTGGATTGAAATTGGTTTTTTTTATTGATGTTAGGGGAGAAATGGTAGAGCTTTTTTGTTCTCTCATGCAATGAATGTTTCCATGGGACCAAAAGAAGACAGACACCTAATGACGGGTCTCCACACGGTTGCTGATGTGTACTGCTCTGATTGTCGTGAGGTGTTGGGATGGAAATATGAACGCGCGTATGAAGAATCACAAAAATACAAGGAAGGAAAAATCATTCTTGAGAAGTCCAAAATTGTGAAAGAGAATTGGTAGTGATGAATTTAACACTCATATATCTAAATCCCCTTTTCATATCCTATCAAATGTCTAGTTTGTGTTGATGCTATCCAATAATATTGTATTTGATTGGAAAGTGTTTTCTTTGTTAACCTTGCATTAATGGAAAGTGAACAGCTTTTGTTGGTATTCTTGTAAATCGAAGGGTGTAAATGAAATGATCTCTCATCATTTGGTATGGTGATTCTTTTATGTATGTAAACTGTCTGTTATTTCTCAACAAAAAGAAACCTGTCCTTTTTTTACATTATTTGGACTTCCAAGAGAAATTTTAACACTATAAATGTCGATGAGAATTGATTTAGGTTGTGTTTAGTGTGCCACACTAAAGCTTTTTTAAAATGTCATAGACTAGTTTTTTTAAAACTATGTTGTCGAACTTTTTTAAAGTGTCATAGACTAGCTTTTCGAGAAATTTTGTTAAATCTTATATATATATATATATATATATATATATATATATATATATATATATATATCCTTCATTATTTATAAAAAATATATTCTTCTAAATTTCCTTTTTATGTATTATTGTATCTTATAACTAGTTTTTTACCAGTCGTTTTTTTACCAGATAGCTTAACTATCAAATAACTTTTCAACTAGTATGTAAAATATAGCCTTAGGGTTTTATAACAATATTCAAAGTAATGGAACTTGGAACAAAAGCAAAAAGACAAAGAGATTATGTTAAAAAAACAACAACTCAAGATTAATCAATTATCATCATCATCATCAAAGAATTCATCAAAACCTCCAAACCAACATCTCTACAACCTAAAAAAAAAAAAAAAAAAAAAAAAATCAAAAACCCAAATGACCAGAAAAACAAAACCTCCGACAAATCAAGTCATCATCCAAATCTCTAAAAAGCTAAGTCTTTACACCAAAAGTCAAAAAACCACCACCTTCTTCTTCAACACATGTCTCTTCTTAGCATCAGCAATCGCAGATTCCTTGCATTTCAATAACTCACTACAAAACTGATCATACTGAGCATTAATATCATAAAGTTCTTGCTTCAAATCTTCACACGCATCTTCTTCCACCTCACAATCTTCACGCGACATGTCATCATTGGACATGATTATAGAACCTTCCGAAGAGCTTATGATTCCACTTGAGTTGGATTTTGGGACTGAAGGTTTCCATGTTGGCTCAAATTTCATCATCAGTTCATCAATCAGCTCAGCAATGACAGCAACTTCTTCATGTATTAAATCCAGCTGTTCCACCATTTCAAGAGCTATTGAATGTGCTGTATCCACATCTATATAAACCATGAACTGAATGTTCCTCGCTGTACCTGTTAAAAACAAACATAAATAGGAGTATATAAAATTATATATTTCAAATAAGTAAAGAATGGTTGTTTATGTTGTTGATTTCTTACTAGTGAAATCATCTATTCTCAAGTTTAAATAGATAGAGTTATTTTCATTCTTCTCCCCTCTGAGTCTAATTTCATTTCTCTCATTCAGACACTGCAACTCAAGGGAATGAAGACGTGGGCTGCTGCTGCTAGTGTTGCTCTTATTGTCAATCTCCATTGGAGACAAGTTGACTTTTGGTAAGTTTGTTGACTTTATCTTGACAGGCTGGCATACACGCTCCTTCATGTTACTATCAGGGTTAAGAAATGGATCTTTCAAAAGCTCTTTTGCAGGTAGCCTCTCAGAAACTGGAACCAAACACTTCTCTATGAACTCCTTCACCTCTGGATCTTTCACTTTTGATAGACCCAAAGGCTTTATACCCTGAAAAACATATTTTCATATATATAAATTATAATTACAAGTCTCTATGTGACATGAAAAACAAAAGATAATAACTAACACTTACTGAAGAAACTTTCTTGTAGATTTGTGCTTGATTTCTACATTCACTGTAGGGATATTCACAAGTGATCAACTCTAATATGCACATTCCAAATGAATAAATGTCGACAAGTTCGTTGTATTCTTCTTCATAGAGTTCTGGAGCCATGAATTCAGGAGTTCCTGTAATGAAACAAACCAATTAAAGTGTTTGCTAGATTGAGATTAATGAAAAGGTATGGATTGATCAATTACCAATTAAACTTTTGGCAGTAGGGCGCAGCATTAGGGTTGCTAATCCAAGATCACCAATTTTGACTTCTCCATGATTTCCATTCACAAAAATGTTGTCACATTTCAAATCTCTATGAATAATAGGTGGTTCATGACTGTGGAGATACACCAATCCTTTAAGAATCTGTCTGGCCCAATTCTTGATAGCCTTCAAATCAACACTCTTATGTTTCTTGCGATATCTGATTAAAAATGTAAACATAGGTTAGTTCTTGTTCATTGATTTAAATGGGTATATAAGTAAAAGAGAAAGAACACAAGGAAGATGACTTACTGTCTTAAACTCCCGGAAGTGAATAATTCGGTGATCATGTTGATAGTTTTCTTCTCATCATCCACCCAAGAAACATATGATTTGATTATGTTTTCATGTTTTAGCGTTCTCAGTAAGTGAACCTCTGAATAAACTCTTTCTAGATGTTCTGGAGATTGCATAGCATCATCCAGTCTCACTTGGTTCCAGGCGATTTCAATTCCTTCAATTTCATCAAATCCCTTGTAGCTGTTCATACCAAGAAAAGAAACATAAATAAGTAAGGATTGCTATGTTAAAGAACAAAATAGTAGAAGATCATATCAGTACAATAAAGCTATATCTACAATTAGAATATACAAAGTTATAGATAAGGAAAAGAGTTAGAAGTCAAGAAATCATACACAGTCTTGAATGCTCCTCTCCCCAGCATTTCATTATACTGAAGAAAGAAAACAGAAAGAGCTAAGAAACTGGTAATTACTCACTACGGCCAATAAACCTTATAGTAAAACTTCAACGTTTATAACATAATATACTCAGGAATATATGGTTAAATTCTAGTGAATAGCATAATATGTTTTTAGATGAACCCAATCTTATGTTTGCTTCAACAAAGCATATGAATAAATAACGATGAAAACACTTCTACTCCAGCATCATGAATAATTTTGCTCTTATTGAACAATATGCATTGAAAATTGATCTTACCCGAATGTAACGATTGTTAGGGCATCTTTCCAAAACATCAGCATCCTCGAGCTCTGGCCTCGCATTCAGTTTCAGTTTCGAAAGAAAATCATTCTCAGGAACCAAAAAACTCACTCCAGAAGCCATCAGTAACAACAATTACAAGGTAACGGATCCGTAAAACGTAGAAGAAAACGGCAGCCGACGAACGAGCGAAAACGAGAGAAAACGACTATAGTTGGCGGTGTTCAGAAAACGCTTCGCAGGCAACGTAGAAAGAATCGATGGATGATCGGATTCTAAAGTAGATTCCAGCAAAACTCATCGGCAATAATGTGTGCGAATTCTTCGAAAGAATCGAAATTCTGGAAACCAGTCGCGTTTCTTCTCCAAATAACCTAGACATGCCTCGAAATCTTCAGATCCCCAACCATGCATATACACATATATGATGAAACTACTTTGGATGCAAGCAATGCGATTGTGACAAGAATAAAGGAAATCAGAACCCAAAAATCAACCCTCCTTACGATAATTAAGAAGTAGAATATAGGATTGTTCGCGAGTAGGAATCGAGGGAATCAATTTTCGTAGGTTGGAAGGCAAGCATTGACAGATTTATAAAACCCTAATCCCCAATTTCCAGCGAGGAAACCGTAGTCTTTTAACAACATAATCTTGCCTTATTTAAGAAAAAGTAAATTGCATATGTCGTCCCTACACTATTAAACAATGTTCATATATAACTACAAAAATTTTTCTTTTCGTATATTGTTTCAAAACGGTTGTTTTTATAACTTTTTAGTCTTCTTATTTTCAAATACCATAACTTTTTCTTAGAGTATACATTTGTATATTTTAGAAGTGATTATTGTAATTATAGATAATCAAAGCTAGTGGTAGTTACGTATTTTTATATTTATCCTAAAATATCTACAATTTCAACAACAAATCAAATCATATCATATCAAATATCCTATGTGTAGTATATCAATTATCAAAACACCTTCTAAAAAAATAAAAGGTGTAAAAAAAATTATTCTCTTAATCGTTGTCTCTATCTTATTTTTTATCTTCGTTTTTATTCACCGGCTGTTTTAATATCTTTCCAATATAAAATAACTACTTGTTATAAGATCAACTTTAAATAATTAAATAAAAAACCTAGAAAACGTGTATCTCACTTTTCTTCCCTTTCTTCAAGATTGATCTAATGAAGCAAATTTTAAAATAGCAATTTGATTTTATTGATATTAATTTTTAATTATTATTCTTACCTTATCGTCTAAAATTTAATCATTTATCCATCCATTAAATGTCGTGACCCGAATTCCAACATACTGAATGTAGTTATAATCCAAATCAATCAAACATTCGATTTTTTTAGAAAAAATATATATGTAGCCAATTACTTTTTTGGACTTTAAGAGTATATTCAAGTCTTGAGTACTTACGTTGAGTAATAACCAACACAAGTCAAGTTCATTTTGATAGCAACCATCTTTTGACCAACTCTTCAAGAACACTTGGTAGCAAACCAAATAATATCTTAATATAAAATGTAAGTATAGAGATGAAGACAAATAGATACTATTAGTTTTGACTATGGCCATGTGCATAGTATATTAGTATATGTCAAATTTAACGAGTCTTACCAATTTTATTAGTCTCTAAAACTAAAATTATATGAAATCCGGCTGTTATGAATTAATAATGCAAAAGAAAATATTATAGACACCCATATGTTTATCAATTTATCAATAAAGTAGACATAAATCTTGTATTTACACTAACAAGAAATACTAGATGCGTTTTAAAACATTCACGAGTCTTAAAAATCAAAATAATCCTTCATATTTATAAAATTTTGTTTTCCTGTATGAATCTTCAAAAAATAACCGATGTAAATGCTAAAATCGAAATCATGCAACTAATAGCAAACTCATAGATGTATTTTAAAACATTCAAAAACTTAATCATCAAAAATAATAATAATAATAATAATAATAATAATAATAATAATAATAATAATAATAAAAACAACTACTACTAAAAAAGTTAAGATTAACTTTTGTCCTTCTGTAGTTTAATACATATCTCCTAAATCCACAAATGTAGTTTTCAAAAGAATTGGTTTTGCTATCCAGAAAGGGCTAGCGGCGCAGCTTGTTGCTCGTTTGCCTTCAATCGATATGTAGTGAACTACACAAGGACAAAAGTTTTATAAGAAAACATACACGAAGTACATGAAGAATGAGCAATGTGAAATTAAAATTGGAGAAGGAAATGTAAATAACAAAAAACAAATAAAAGCTTAGTTAGTTCTTGTAACTTTTAGGAGGTAGTTGTAATCTATGACATTAGTAAAACTTAAAGGGTAAATTGTGTAAATATCCACCTCTCATCCAAGGAAGAACAGTACGTCCGTGATTCCTGGGGTTTGGCGCCGGCTAATCCTAGTTTTTTAGAACGGCTCAAAAGTAACAATTTACTTTATTTTAAGCCCGAAACATTATTATATTATTACTATATAATATACCATAATGTAAAAATATTTAATAATACAACTAAAATTTATTTATTTTTAATTTATATAACTAAAATTGAGGTTGAAACAAGGGGGGATAAGTTTTAACCTATCTTTACCAAGTGGTTTTGTTCCTTATAATAACTTCTATATGGTTGTTCAGTATTCCAAAGTATAAGGATATTGTTTGTGATAATCTAAAAAACATTTGCATTGATGATCTCCAACATGTGGAGGGGTTTAAGGTATATCCGACAAAGTGTAGTCTACTATTATCGGTATAGTGGAATATCTTGTGACTTGTGAACATTTTCTATAAATAGCACATCCGTTACAATAATTGCATTGGAGATATATCTCAAGCACCGCACAACTACAGTTATTGTTGCAACAATATACATTTGAAATGTATAAACTTTAAAATATTGTTACAACTGGGAGACATTGGAGTTGTAACTTACAAAATTTGGTCTCATAAAAGAAACATTAGAATGTTATTTAACTTAGGGTTACATCTCCATATCAAATACAATCACACTGAAGCAACTCTATAAAAATATATACAAAACTAAGCCTAAAAAGTAAAAAGTGTTCACTTCAATTACTACGATTCACTTCATTGGTACTTAAAAGGAGCATCTTCTAGTCATCCATAAGACTAAAAGGAGTGGGGATCGCCACCGGGCTCGCTATGCTCGTCAACGATCAATGAACACCGCTCTCTAACTCTCGCTAGGGAGGTCGCCACCGGTGCCTCGTTACAATTTTGGCAAGAAGAGAGAGGTGAGGTTGAATTTGCTTGGTGCTTGTGAGTTTGACCGGATTGCTCAAATGGTCTAGATCAAATTTAATTTCAATTATTTTTCCACCAACTGTCTCAATTTATATAAAAAAAACGTTTTTATATTAGAAAAAAATATATATTCAACTACTATAAATCAAACCATACTTTCAACAATTTACACACACAAAGTATCATTATCTCTTTCACAAACTCTCTTAATTCACCAAAAAAAATGTATTCATCTCAAACAAAGAAAACCCCAATAACCAACAAAAAGAAAGCTTCAAACCATCCATCACTTCCGCCTCCAAACACTCAATCACCAAACCTTCAATCCTCAACCCTTCCATCACCACCATGTTATCGATCATCATTTGATCAACCTATTCACTCTCCTGCTAGCTACTACTTTCCTATAATGACTCCGCAAATGTTTTCATTCAATCCGTTCTCTTCTCAAACAATGGCATTTTACCACAACCGATATCAACCAACACATCGTCCTAATGTCGATCTTGATCCGTTTGAAACGGTTCAAGAAACTCAATTCTTTTCTCAACCTCAACCGAAAAGTAGTTTTCAATCCCAACCACCCCGCCTACTCGACGAGTCAACCGATTCTTCCGATGAAGGCCCCGTTGAAGATCTCGTTCAAGAATCATTTCAAGAGCCCGGAGTCGACCACAAGTACAAAAAAAAAAGGAAAGGGAGGGCTCCGTGTAGAGGGTGGACGGATGATGAAGAGAGGGCACTAGTGCAATCATGGCTAAATGTGTCGGAGGACTCGATCCACGACAACGACCAAGACTCAACAACCTTCAAAGCAAAAGTTTGGCTTAATTTTGTCAACGCATGAAAAAGAAGTACCGTAATCCTGATTCACTTTACTCGAAATGGAGGACCGCCAACCGAGCCGCAATGGAGTTCAACGACATCTACCTGAACGCGATCTGCAACCCCTAAACTAGTGCAACTGAGGTGGATGTCATGGCTAAAGTTCGTCAGATTTACAAGGCGAAAGTCGAAAGAGCTTTTGTCAATGAGTCATTTTGGGGAGTTGTGAAGGGCAATCGAAAATGGCTAGAGCTAAAAAGTCTTGATGATTACGCGGGGATGTCCAAACGAAGCAAAACTTTGGAGTCGATCCACGTTCAATATTCTGGTACGCGTATCGGAGGGATTGGCCTCAGCAATGATAAGCCATATGAAGTTCCAACTCGTCCTATCTCCTATGGGACGAGACAAAGCAAAAAGAAAGCTGAAAGGTGCTCAAATCTCATCAACTAAAGTGGAGGAGATTAGGTACGAAATCCGAAGGTTGGACAGTAAGCTTGATGCTTTCTTGGAATTGGGAAAGGAAAAATAAAGAAACTGTGCATTGAAGCTTTGGTTAAAATCGGGGAAAAACTTGTCCAAGGATGATCGTCGGGTGTTCAACAATGTAAGAAAGGACCTTGCAAAATAATATAACTGTAAGTAAATCGTGTTTTATGTCTTAAGTAAGTTTTAGGTGGTTTAGGTAGTATTAAATTGTCATTTTAAATTGTTGAGAGAAAAACTTTTGTGAAACACACTTGAACAAACGTTAGAACAAGTTATATATTGAGGAATAAGTTAATCTCAAAGGATCATAAAGCTCAACAATAATTAGAAGTTAGAGTTGTTAGATTGTTAGGTGCGGAAATGTAATTGCTGAAAAGTAAGGAAATAAAAATGACAACAAGTATTATATCAAGTAAACACTAAGCTGATTCGTGACAAGGTTTGCAATCAAACACAAGTCAGTAAGTGTGATTAGCTAAAGTGAAGAAGTCACGAGTGACTTGCTCCGAAGGAGAGATTATGATCGTAATTTTAGAGTTTAAGTTCTGTAAGATCTTGCGGATAAGAGAGTAATGAGAGAATATGTAATATATAAGGTGAAAGAGAGATGTAAGAGATATATTCAATCAGAACATGAGAGCTCTATATATAGAGTCTCGAGGATTACAAGAAAATAAACAAAGTCTAAATATGTCTTAAGTGTCCATGCAAGGCACATTGGATAAAGCAATGTAAAGTGAAAAGATAACAAATAAAACTAAGTCTATGTTTGATGAAAAAAACTGCGGATGCGGTCGGTGATTGCGATTGAGAAGCTGAATGCGGATCAGGAGATGGCTTCGGATTGACTAAGTTTAAGAGGGTCACTTTCTTGCTTCAACAATTTCCCCCTAAGTGACCTTTTCAACTTTTCTTTCATCTATCGAGCTTTAGGAATTTGATGAGAACCCACCAGAACTTCCTGACTTCTCCGAGCCAAACAATTCTCCTAGAGATTTCAAACTTCACTTCAGCTGTAGTGTGTTTTGATTTATGGATTGCGGTTTGAGTGATCTCCAGCTACTTCCGGGTCAGGCGATGCATGGCAGTCATTGGAATGAAAAGATTTGTTTCATTATCTTTACGCTTGAAAATGACTCCAAGATCTGGGAAGTTAGTTGCTCGAAGGGATCTTTCTTGATAACCTTTAGTAAGCACCAGAGCTGGATCAAGAGGAGGAAGGTTAAACTTCTGAGCAAGAGTTGGGTGGATATCCGCATCGATTTTAGCAAAATCACATACTGTTTCTTTCAGATATGTACAAGCCCATTCATAAGCAATCTTCATCTTCGGATACTTCTCAAACTTAATCTGAAACACCCTAGCAATCAGGAAGACTTCCTCCGGATTCATGCAAGGAAACTCTGCTTGGGTTCGGATATAGTCTTGATTTCTTCTTGTGAGAGTATATTGAATGAAGTCTGATTTCATAAACTTTCTGGGCTTGTGGTTCTTGACTGCGGTAGGTATGTCGTTTGACCAGATGCTTTCGATTTTAGATCCATGCTTGGCATGAAATCTGTTAAGTCTTTCAAATTCAAGGGGCAACCTCTGATCATCTGGGAGGCTGCGGTCGAATGGTTCAAAGACGACAAAATTCGAATTCATGTTCGTGTTCGTGTTCGTGTTAACTGTAAAAAACACGATGTCGTGTCGTGTCGTGTTCGTGTTAACTGTAAAAAACACGATGTCGTGTCGTGTCGTGTTCGTGTTCAAAATTCGACACGAAATTGACAAAATTTTTTATCGTGTTTGTCGTGTTTTTCGTGTTATATTTGATAAAGTATTCATTAAATAAACTAGTTTTTAGTATATGATATATTTTTCGTGTCGTGTCGTGTTTGTCTTTTTTTAATTCGTCTGTTTTCGTGTTAGTTAAAAAAAACACGACATTGTGTCGTGTCGTGTTCGTGTTATATAAAACCTTGTCGTGTTGTGTCGTGTCAGACAGAAACACAAAACGATAACACGATTTGCCATCCCTAGCCGTAGGCACGCGAGGCTCTGGAAGAGCGGTTGGGTTGAGGTGGTAGGCCAACAAACCCTGGGTATTCCAGCCCGATGGCTGAGTGGACCCGATGCATGCTTGTATGTTTATTGTATGGGGTATTTTGGGGGAAACTCACTAAGATTTATGCTTACCCAGTTGTTTATTGTCTCAGGTATCATCGGTGGCTATGGGAAGGCGAAGGCGGGATTGTACACACTCATCGACTGCATTGAGGATTCCGCTTTTTCTCTGATACTCTAATTTTTAATAAATGTAATTTGGAATAAACGGTTTTCTTAATAATGGATTTATAAATTAGGAAGTTTTACCTTAATAAAATGAAAAATTTTGGTTGTGAAAAATGGGACATTACACCATGAATTTAGGGTTTTATCCTGTATTTAAAGGTATTATCTTCATGTTTTTGGCCATTTGAAGCCGCCATCACATCAGAGATCCTATTGAGTGTTAATCCTAGCCTCCATATTGTTCCCTCTCCATTTCATTCCAAGTTTTGAGCTTTTGGTGCATTATTCAAGTTAGAGGAGGTGATTCTTGGTGCCTAGAAGCTTTTCTCTAACTTAGATCCAATATTCTCAACACCTTTTTTGGATCTTTGTGAGTATAAATTTCTTATCTTGATGATTATTGCTTTAGATCTAGTTTTGTATGCTTTAATGGTATCTTTTGGGTCCCTTTTATGGTGTTTTTGGAGTTTAGGGAACTTTAAAAGCATATGACTGATTCTAATGACTTCTTGACTTGTTAGATGATGGAAAAATGGATATGCATGCATTCTCTTTTAGCCATGCAAGAGATTTGACCCTTAGAGTTAGGGTTGGAGTTTTGAGGAGATTAAGCCTTGAGAATGGATAAAGTTGGAAACTTTATCCATTAAGTCACTTAGAAGAATCAGATATCAGGTTTTGAGCTTCTATCTTAAGGGATTAAGATCTGAATAAAGGAAGGTTGTTAAGCCAGATTTAGCGGCGCAGCGGCCTTGGCGTCACGGCACGACGGTCGTTGACTTTAACCATTGACTTTTTGACTAGTTTAAATTTTGGTCATACTGAGGGTTTGAGTTGTAGACTTAGTTCTAGCCTATGTTTGGATTAAGACAGTTCGTAGTTGATTATTTGGGACTTTAAGTAGTTGAATTCAACTCTTTGATTCAAGTGAGTTTTATTAATATACTATGTAGGACACTAGGTGTCAGTGTATGCTAGTTGCTTGTATGCTTACATTGGGATGGGCCCTTATGATTGAAACAGACCCATTGGGCTAGGCTTGTTACTTTGTATTGTATGTGGTATTTTGGAGAAGTCATTAAACTTTGTATTTACAGTTTTAAATTTCAAATGTTTCAGGTTGTTTTGACAGCAAGGGAAAGGGTGTGTCTTGATTGCATTGCATCCATTGGAGATTTCCGCACTTTATTTATGACTTTATTTGTTGTTACTCTGATATTGGTTTTGAATTGTCAACTTATACTTTGGTATTTACATATCTTTGGAATGAAATTGGAATGGTTTCATTTATATTAAAAATGAAAATTTTGATTTGAAATTTGGAACATTTCAATATTAGCCAATTTTCAAGAGCAAAGGTTTGGACTTAACAAAGCGAATCGTAAGGACCGTTTATGTAAGAAATTTCAAATTTAAAGACTATTTTTGCAAGAAATTCATCATAAGGACCAAATATGATATGTTATGTCAGGCACATGAACCATTTATATAATAGGTATAGAATTTACAAGCGATTATAGTAATGGAAAGAAATTAAAGACGATGTTCTCTATACATGAGCTTTTTGTTCAAATTATTTCATGGAATCATGATTATACCAAAATAGATTGTTTTTGATGTTGCATCACTAGATGAGAAACATGTAGTATCATATGATTTGATATATATAGGTGTAGATGATGGTTCAACCTTACCAGGGCCGGTCCAAATATATATGGGGCCCGAGACAAAATGAAAAAAAAGGGTCCCTCAAAGACAAATATACTAAAGATTAAAAAAATATTATTTATTCTTCATTATAGATGTGTTCAATTAACAATAACAAGCAATCCAAATTGTTTATCTTTTGAAGCTAATTTGAGTTTGAACCAACTTTAGGCTCTAACAATCATTTAAGCAATAATTTTTTTATATATATACACTATATAGCCCAGAAAATTTGGGCCCCTGGAGACGTGGGCCGTGGGCGGTCGCCCGGGTTGCCCACCATCTGGACCGGCTCTGAACCTTACTTTCTTTTTTAAATAAAATTAGATAAAAAAAATTGTTAGATGAATTCCAAAATAAATTAAAAAGATAACAAAACTATAGAAATGGTCCTTATCGTAGGCAGATTATACCACTTCAAGTCCTTTTGAGCCTATTTTTGCAAGAAATTCATCATAAGGACCAAATCATATATGTTTTGTCAGGCACATGAACCATTTATGTAATTCTATATTTATTCAATTTGAATACAAAGTTAGGGTTGGTGGGACTATTTTTGGTCCTTATGATGAATTTCTTGCAAAACAAATGAGGAAGTTTTAACATGGTTGGTCATTTTCAGATTTAAAACGCATACGATGAATCCTTATGGTTGACAACAAAAAAAAAAATTCATATGCGTTTTAAACTTAAAAAATGACCAATAATATTAAAAATTCATCAAAAAGACTTGTTCTGGCATTTTATGCCAGCCATAATCACCATTTGTATAATTTTATCTTTAAAAATATACAAAAGTCTATTTACATATATCAAAGACCAACAATGCAAAAAATTAAAAACACGTAACAATTTGCATTAAAAAAAAAAAAAGATAGAGCCTAAACATCCGATTTTTTTAACCTATAAGGTCCAGTTGGAGATTTTGTGTGTAATTACATTGCGTGCACCACCTCAGACTCGATCACCTCCTTCATCTTTCTTTCCCGTGTTAATTTTGTCTTTAACCCCATCATTTTTCCTTCAACATTTTACTTCCCCAAGGATGATATCAGTCATAAAAAAATCACAATAATATTTAACTTGATTTTATGACATCCCAAAAAATTTAGCCATTTTAAAAACAACATTAAACTCGAAAAACAATAAGCGTGGAAAAATCTCAAGTAAAAAAGACAATATAATCGAAAGTCAAAATCTAAAGTCATCAAATAATCTTTTGCACTCCAGAAGCCTACATGCTTAACATCATATTGTTCACCACATGTGATACACGTCAAAATACAACATTGGAGTTGAAAGTTTTATGAGGTAAATAGGTTAAAACTCTGCTCGAAAACATTACAAATCATCAAATATTACACCTGAGATAAAAACATCTATATTTATATCTATAATTCTATATTATATAAAAGTTCAATGCAAACGCAATGCATATCATCCAAACTTATCAAATCACCTACCTTATCACCGAGTAGTACAAGGATGAAGTATGACTAACAAGGCCCTAAATCAACATTAATCTATTTAATAAATAACTTACAGAAATCCCTCAATATTCCAGTAGAGTCCCTCCCATTAAAGATTAATCTATTTTATAAAAATAAAAATTATTAAATGATTTTTTTTAACATCTTAAGGCTACTACGTAAATCTATATCAATATCTATGTTATATAAAAGTCCAATACAAATGCAATGCAACGCATATCATCCAAACTTATCAAACACCTACTTCATCACCGTGTAGTACAAGGATGAAGGATGACTAACAATGCAAATGCAATGCAATGCATATCACCTACCTCATCACCGAGTAGTACAAGGATGAAGGATGACTAACAAAGCCCTAAATCAACATTAATCTATTTAATAAATAACTTCCAGAAATCCCTCAAAATTCCAGTAAGATCCCTCCGATTAAGATTAATCTATTTTATAAAAATTATTAAATAAGTTTTTCTAACAGCTTAAGGCCAATACGTTCTAACCCGTACTAAGGGGTTTGCATGTTAACATGGTATTTAAAACCTCGTAAGTTTGTTCTGCAGTTGGTTGTTTGGTTTATGTTTGTCCATGAAAAAACCCAAATATAAACCCTACTTTACATTATTACATACCCTATCAGTAGAATACATGCATCAGTCCCTCAAACATTTAGGCCTAGTGGAAAATTTTGAGAAATTTTCCAACATAGTGTAAGTTTTTTCGGTTTGTGGTTAATTGATGGTTTTGTTGTTGTGATAATAGGAATTTTGCATAATTTGTTGGGGGAAATTGTAGATAGTGTTCGATCATTTTATATAAGCTCTATTTTATTATATCAAAGATTAATTACAAAACATATTCATAAAAAATACGATCATTCGCCCAAGTTTCTAATAATAAAGAATACAAACATGCAACAAAGTAAAAAACATATCTTATCAACTACATGTCCGTCCTTTCACAACCACAAAAAAGTTAAAACATGAGTAAAAAATTTAGAGCCAAAACTTATCAAAGTATCAAAAACAATTATATAATTCTAATATAACATGAGAATGATACATCAATAAATACCACTTTCCCATTACGTTTTGAACAATTATTAATTTTGACATTAAACCATCAACATATATAATGCAAGAAGCAAAGGAAAGAGTGATTCATACAAACAAATGAGTTGTTACAAAGTGCGTGATGAAAAGAAGTTTGGTTTTATTCGAAATGTGTGCATTGATTAGACAAATTTAAGACTTGATTAACAAGAAAGAAGAAAAAATGATCCCTATTAGTATTATACCACATAAAGTTCTGGATGGTTATAGACTACCTGATTGATCATGATTCATGATTTATGATTTCTGTTCCACAAAAAGACTGGCTTGAGGATGCAATCCAACTTCTTTAAGGGTGAAAGAGAGTTTATCTGGACCATAAAGGACACGTGGGAAATTGGTGACTAGGCTGTAACTTCCAATTTCTAAAGCCCCTGAAGAATCAATAAAGTCGTATAGAGATTGTATTGTTGCACTGCAATGGAATCGCCTCCCCTTTCTTTCTCCATTTGGTAATCTCACTAATACCTGCATCATTTCATTTTCATATCATATAATGTGTCTGGTTTTTATATAATATTAATTAATATGGTTTATAAAATCAACAAGATAATACATTTGAGATTTTGGCTGTGTTGTATAGTATGTTTCATTCCCTTTTTTAATCTATAAACTTTTTAAGACACGTCTTTTTAAGAGTTTTATGATTTTAATTGAGATATAACAAACCAAAATGGTTAATTTGGGTAAAACCTGATGGTCATAATGGTTAATTTGGAAAAAAATTTGGAATTTTTAAATGTAAAGACTCATTCCATACCAAACAGACTGTTTTTGTTCAGTGGTTATGTAAAAACTATTACCAGAAGTTATATGTTATTCAGGCATAGATTCAAACCTTCTTTTACGGAAATTAAAATGCAAATTTTTTCTCAAAATATTTAAAGAATGAAATACCTGAGTAACATCTGGCCCCTTTTCAGGTTCAGGACCCAACAACAAAGATTTTTCCTCACGCAGTTTAATCAATGCAGCTTCTCTTTCAGCAGCTTCACGTGCTGCTCTTTCACGGGCCTCCTCTTCTTCCTTTTGCTTCTTCTCAGCTTCAGCAGCTTCTCTTTCTAATCGTTCTTGCTCTTCCCTCCTCTGGCGTTCCCTAGCCTGATTTTGTAAAATAAAGTTAGCCAATCAGATGAACAATTGAAAATTAATCTTAAAAAAAGGGTAAATCAGAGCTTACTTGATCAGCTTCAAGTGCAGCTTGATATGCAGCATCTTGTTCCTCCCTTAATCGGATGTTGTTTCTTCTTTCCTCAGCTTCAAGTCTTGCTGTTACAAGAACAGGGGCACTTTCTTCAAGAACCCTTTGCAACATTGTTAGCAGCTCTTCTGGTGATTTAGGCCCTTCAACCTACATTATATATATCCACAAAGTTAATGGTAGATTTCTAATTCCTATAAAAGCATTACATGTTAAGAACAAGCAAAGATACTTTACTATTGACACTAGTGATTGAACTTGTTACAAGGTACTTCTCATTTAGGGGCCCTTCACTAATGTGAATGCTTACAATTAATGTTTCTTCGGTTGATTAGGGACCAATAGATGCACAAATTTCAGGTTTAACAGTATTCAAACTTCATAATGTGAAATAATTTATTTGTAGACTCAAGAGTCCTGGCATTAGGTAAGATACCTGTTGGAGCAAAGCAATTCTCTGATTAGTAGCTGCCATGACAACAGCACAGAAAGGAAACCTAGAAGCCTTCAAGCTGTTACTCATCTTGAACCCTTCGCTTGCCCTAATACTCCCACCCCAAGCAACAAAATTCTCATTTACGAACTCTGTCATAACCTCGGAACAGAGAGTGCCCTCACAGAAGGATGGTGTATCAGGATGATCTGGAGAGTGCAAGTACACAAACAATAGTTTGAATTCATGCCGCGACCGCTGTAACGCATCCATAAAACCCTCAGAAACAAAATTCGGATGTCTGTTTCCATACTCACTCTCGAACTTCGACACGAAATCCATCGCCTCTGATGCCGCGGTTGAGAGTGAAACTAAAGGAGTCGAGGAAGATCCGCCGTTAGTCCCGGAATTAGTCAATCCAATCATGCTTAAAGAATATGAAAGAACACCGCCCACCGCCCATAAGCCTAACCCTACAGCACCTGAAACTAACCCTAGGCTCCCAGAAACAATGGAAATCGGAAGTGTGATGAGCTTCCATGCTAAACCTGGTGGACCTGCACCCTCAGTTGCAATAAATCCTGATTGTTCAAATCTGTCGGTGGCGATGGTGTCGTTGTCGATGGCGGAAGTAGTGGGAAGATTGATGTGGTCTTCCTCTGATGTTGAAGTGATACTTGAGATAGCTAGTTCAAGGTCCCAGCCATGAGCAGAGAGGATCTCTGTGCACAAATCGGCGTCTTGGAGACCTGTAATTGCTTGAAAATGAGCCAATTTGTCGGCAGAAGCACTCATATCTGTGTATATACACGTATGTAATCAATATGTATATGAGTTTTATGACAGATCAACGAAGAATGGGATGAGATTAGGGTTTGAACAAGAAAGTAAAGGATGGAAAACGATAAATCCCTGAGTGAGGGAGGTATGGCTTTTGGACTAGAGAATTACTGGACCCAAATGACGAAGGTGCCTTCTAGAATCTAGATTGGTTTGCAAAAGCCGTCCGGGCGAATAATAAATTTGGAAAACCGGTTTGCTATTTTTCTTTTTCTTTTTTCCAAGTCTTTTGAAGAAAACGATTTTTTTGTGGCATAAGGGGAATTAAGACGGGTAGAGAATTTTAGAGATATAGTTGTTTTAAAAGTTGATCATGGAGCCATCATTTGAGGAATGCTAACAATAATGGAAAAATGTGACCGACACCATCATAGAGGTGTCCAAAAACACTCTTGTGATGTAGAAAATTGTGATGGTGAAATGAAGAGGTCCGAGCTAAAGTCAAGGTAAAACAAACCTTCTTTAAGGAGTTTTTAGCAATTAATGATGACAATGAAAAAAGCAATGCCAAACCTGAACTCCTGAAGGGAAAAAAATAATGGCCAAAGCAAAAAAATATATATATATATATCGTGTGTGAAGAGAGATATAAAAGTGACACAAAATAATGTTTAGTTTATATTAACTAATAAATACTTAGGTAGTTACTTATATTCTTTATTTAATGAGCCGAATTTAGGGATAGGAATGTAGAGGGGTATTCAGTATTGTAGGGCAACTCCGGACGACCAATAAGTGCTCCCACATTAATATTAATATTGAGAGGGAAGAAGTGAAAAATACATTAAGGGTGTTTGGGATTGTTTTTCAAAACAGTTTATTGATTTACTGGCTTTTTGAAAAGCTAATAAGTCAAAAAAAACGTTTGCCAAACTAAAAAATATTTTTCAGAATACCTTTTTCACTAGTTTTAAAAAACAATTTTTAAAAAGCATGTAAAATTTGGCTTTTTAAATCTGTTTTTGGCTTTTTAACCAAAATAACTTCAAAAAGTACTTTTTAAACTAAACATTTTTTAACTTATTGACTTATTGGCTTTTTCACCATAAAAGCTAATCCAAATACTTTTTAAAAAATTTATTTTACCATCATTATAAGCCAATAAACACTTTCATCTAAAAGTATTTTTAGAGTTCAAAAAGCACTTCAAACACCCTTAAGAAGGACGTGGAGAGATACTGTGGTTAGTGGAGGAAGGAGGTAGTGGTTGCCAAAACTTTTCTAACAATATTTTAAAAAGTCGGCAAACATGCCAAAGGAGGAGTGAAATCTAGTACTATGATACATATTAAAAAATAATAATAAATAAATAAAAGATGTAATAAATTGCGACAACTATAGATAGAGGTATTAAACTACTTGGTCATTCTATATGAGACTAGCTAGAGGAAAAGTTTCTAGAAAGTTAAGTCAAAACTATATGTAATTAAATTGTTTCAGAGGAATTATAGTTCTTACATTTTTGTTTTGCTTATAGACGAGATTTCTCATAAGACTCGAGGAGGGATACCATAGTGTATGTTTTTTGCCGAAAACATTGTTCCGGTGGAAAAGTCTATGACGGAACGCTAGGGTGGATATCTAAAACTCTGGAAGGCATCATTGGAAGAGAATATGGTATATATCAGCACAATTAAGACAATATATATGGTACAATTTCAATAAGGAGCGTAATGAATGAATATTAGTATGCACAAGTGAGCATTTTTTATACCTAAACAAGAGCTTCAAGTACCTGAAATCTATTCATAATAAATAAATAAATAAATAAAAGGTGCAAATGATGCCATTACACAATGTATAACGACCATTTTGGTCAAGAAATCACAGGACAGGATAAATCAAGATACAAATATTGCTTAAAATTTATGACATTTATGTTTGATTTGCATGTATCTAAGCCTTTCTTATATGTGTTGGTGGATATGTTTTAAAGTCATTATACTAATCCAAATGCATGTTGTGTGTAAATATGATGTGTATATATTGTTTTAGCATAGGTTTTACAATATTTTTCACATCAATACCATTCTACGTGTTTGTGTATCAAATAAAATCATAGATCTTTTCAATAAGACATTCCAAAATTGTTCTTACATTCTGAAAATACTTAATCATTCTAATATAATCTTAACAATTTCTTGAATCCACTATGACTATCTACAAAACCAACTACCAAAATTATACTCGAAAATACATGAACGGCATTACTAGACCTCTTCAATCACAACCTTCCCCTTCCTCTCTTCCTTTCTCCAATCACCCTTCTTCCCATTACCCACATACTCCATAGCCACATTCTTCTCAGCCATTACCAACCCTACCAAACTAGACCAAACCTCTCCCCCTTGTTCATGCACCCAACACATCAAAAAATAAACTTTCCTCTCACCACCCTTCAACTTCCTCTTCATTTCCATATCACACCCTTTCATTTCTTTCATTCCATTTTTAATCATTCGATGCAAATCACAAAGCGCACATACCAAACCATCACTTCCAAGGTCCAAAACACTCGCCACGTCATCAAGAACCGCAAGTCCAAACTGGGCCCCACCCATGTGTCCGAAAGCGGGCCCACAAGCTTGTTCCAAACATTGAGCCACAGCTTCAGAAACCGTCTCCGGTTGACCGCCTTGACCTAACACATTCGATACACTCATAACCGTTACGGTGGACCCCGCCGCGTCTGATTCCCACTCCCCGTTGTAGACACGAAGAGTGAAACAGTAGCTGTATAAGATGTCCACAAGGTGAACGGGTAAAAGCGGGGACGGTTGACTTGACCCGATAAGGGTGTTGACCGGCGGCAGTGCGGTGGTGGGACCTGGCGGCACTGAGGGAGCCGCCGGGTCTGGTTCGTTTGGTGTTACGGGTTGAACCAGTTGGGTTCCTTGAGGGCTTAGAGATATGGTTTTAGCAGATGGTTTTAGCCACCATGGGTCCCACGGTTCGATCATTTTGCTGAGCTGTCCTGAAGCCACGGCTCGTTGAAAATGTTTCTTTTCTCCAGCCGACAAGTCATCGAAAGTGATTTCAACTCCTGTAGGGGTAAAACGGTCAAAAGAAAATATAGGGTTGATAGTCGAAGTGAAATTAACTTTCAAACATACCAGACATGATCTTTTCGATTGTCTCCTCTGATAAAGATGCATCAGTCAACCCTTCAAAAAAAATTTGAATAATTTAAATAAAGAAATAACATATTAACAGTAATAATTTGAATACAGAATTAACATATTACCATCATCTTCCATGCTATCATCTTCTTCCTCTGAATGAAAACGTCTCAATATGTCCAGCATTTTCTGTTTAGTCTCATCAGCAGGTTCCATTTGCTTCATCTCCTCCATTACATTGTCTCTCATAAATGATTCTGTGCATCGGATACTGTGTGACTGAAAAAAGATTATTAAAAAAAAAACTTTACAAACATAATTTTAATACTAAATAAATTCAGAAAACCATATATAGGAGTCCAATACCATAACTAAAAAAATATTGATGTAATGAAACATAATTCTCAAAGTGGATACCAATTTGTGTAAGATGTAAAGAACAAAGACAAGATTACCTTGTAACATGGAAGGGAACAATAACGAGTATTACATCGAGGGCATGTATATTGGGAAAACTGTTTTTGGCATCTGCAATTGAACACAAAAAAATCAATCACCTAAAATTCATGAAATTGGATATATTGTATAAAAATTGAATTAGAGAAGGGTTTGAAGAACATACACACGACATATAATACGAGATGGAGGATTCAGTTGGGATGAACTGGTTGGTGTCTCTGAAGTAATTATTGAATCCGCCATTAATGCACTTACTGGCATACAAGAATTTAATAGAGAATTTAACCACAAAGTTATGCGTCCAAGTTTGCAAAATTCATTCACAAACCCACATAAAAACTTGTCAGTGAGATAAATTAGGTTACCACCAAAATATAAAATCAGTTTAAGATAACACAGAGCAAACACAAAATACAAAACACAGATTAATAACTGAATTGATTAGAGGGTGTTTGGCTAAGCTTATTTAAAATGATAAGCATTTTTTAACTTTGTAGTTTATTAGCTTATAGCGATGCCAAATTGGAGTTTTTTAAAAAAATGTTTGGATTAGCTTATCCGGTGTCAAAACCGTAAGCAGATAAGCATTTTTTAGTGTTTGGCAAAAAAAAGCTAATATGTGAAATGACCAAAAAAGGCTTACACATCCCTCTCAGGCATTTGATCAAACAGCTTGCCTGCAAGGCTACCCATCCCAACTCAGATAAAAAACAATCATACATATGAGTCTCAAGAACACAAATTTAAGCATCTAATTCAAGATACAGAACACTGAACACATCAGATATCATATATGATAATATGAACAGCAAACACATTCCCTTTTTTACAGATATCATATATGAACAACAAACAAGTAGCAAATCAGTAAGCAAACAAGTAGCTGTGGCTATCGAACTATCGAAGTCAGAAAAAAAAAAAAAATGGAACCTGAGGTGGGGTGCGACGATGTAGCTGTGGCTATCAAAGGTCTCCTGCCGGTAGCCTCACAGGGGTGGCGATGGCGTACGGCGGCAAGCAGGGGAGGAAGTCGACGTGATAGTAGACGCGAGAGAGGCGATGCAGTAATGGAGGCGGCGATGGAGCTTGCGATTACCTTTAGCGGAGAGAAAATTAGAGACGGGAAATTGGGGGGAATGGCGAACTCTCGAAAGATTTTTGTGATGCCGCCTGGGGCAGAAATTCTTACGAGGGCACATATGTAATTTACAAGGAGGATGGCAAAAATCTTATAACTCATGTAAATATTGGATAAAATTAGTAATGGTTTGATGAAAATTTATACGTAACCACACACTTTAAACATTTTTTTTTTCAGTAATACCAAATGGTATATGGCTAAAGACATCTTCGGAGTTATATGAAAAAAGACATACATGTGTTTGTGCGTTTACTGTCGATCTTATTGATGATATGATAAACGAAATAAAAAGTCGATCTTATTGATGATATAATGAACGAAATAAAAGTTTTTCTTATTGTCTTTTGTTATTTTTAAGTAAATTTTATTTTCAACATAAGAAGTTCTTACTGTTATTAAAGTATATTTTGGGATATTTATTATTTCTTCAACTATTTACTTGAAAGGTGGTTTGTTTTTTTGTAAAAAAACATATTTTGACCACTTATTGTTGCGCGGCGAGCACACGCGCAATACTTTTCATTCCAATGCAGTTTGTTTTTTAAAAGTCTTCAGGACTAAAAACATCTACGCGTGTTCTGTTTGGGGCAGCATTTGCATTATCTCTTCAAGCCTCTTCACGCCTAAACCTAAAAAAAAAAATCGGTAGTTCTTCTCTAAAGAAAAAAAGCGTTGTACCCCTCTTCCCTTCGACGACTGCATCTTCAATCGCAACTTCCTTCCTCGGCGCAGCCTCCTCTCCGTCACCGTCGTTGTTGTCGTCGCCGTCATTCGGCCTTCATCAAGTAATTTTTTTTTTTTTTATTGTTGCTAAAGCAACGATTCTTTCATGCTTCATCTTATTTTTCGCTTTTTTTATGAATCCTTGTTAATATATTTGTTGTTGTTGAATCTTGATTGATGATGTTGTCAAATCTTTGCTGATGTTGTTTTTTATCTTGAGTAATGATAAGTTCTTGCTGAAATGTCATAAATTTATGTTGAAAAGTCATATATTATGCTAAAATGTCATAAAATTTGGCTGAAATGTCATGAATTGTTGAAATGTCATGAATTGTTGCAGAAATGTCATAAATTTTTGCTGAAATGTCATAGATTGTTGTTGAAATGTGATAAATTATTACTGAAATTCATCAATTGAGGTTCTTGTTATGCTGAAACGTGAATAATCTTTGTTGAAATTCGTTAGTTTAATCAATAAAAGTTCATGTTATGTTGAAAGTTGTTCTTATAAGTTTATGTTTGTTAAAGTATGAATTCCATATGTTATTTTTTGTTATTAGTAATAGGAGATTAACATACACGGACCAGTGAGAAAATAAAATTCTTATTGCAAACTTGTATTGAAGAAACAAACACTGTGGGTAGAAAATGTTTGAGTTTGCACAAATATTCATGGAACAAGTTAGGAACAATTATTAAGGAAAGTATGGTGTGGATTTGACTCAAAGACAATTGAAAAACGTCTATGACAATCTTAAAGCCAAATACACGGAGATAGTTATATTTGAAAAACAAAATTGGCAACATTTACAATCCTCAAACAAACACTTTGAACGTAACGAACGATGAGTGGGAGGACTTAAAAAGGTGTGTGTATATATATATATATATATATATATATATATATATATATATATATATATATTGTTAATATTCATGTATATAGTTGGCAAATATTCTTATATTGCTTTTGTTACATTGATTGGGTTTAGGGACATCTGAAGACCGCTTCCTTGAAAATTGTCTCATTGCTGTTTCTAGAGCTTTGTGCATAACTCTTTGATGGAGACAGTGCCTCTGGTAATCTCAGCTATGCCACATCCCAAACACCATCGGGACATGGATCATCTTCTTGCCATGTCTCATCATTACAGCTTATGGATACCCCTTCGGTTAACATAGATGATGATGATTACTTTTTCCATCATACTGGTGAGCCTTTTACTCATCCACCACATTCTTTTGCTTCACCTTATGTTGCTTCACCTTCTGGTAACCCCAACAAAAGGGCTAAACCTCAACTCCTAGAGCTTGAGCGCCTAGTGCCTCACCTTATGTTGCTTCACCTTAAAGTTTGGTTGTATGACTTTTATTTCAAATTGTTTTTGTAAGACTAATTTGGTTATATGAATTTTATTTCAATGTTTTAAGACTAGAATTATTAAAATTTCGGTGTTTGGCGACAGCATGTCAGCGTGGGAGTGCGCAGGAGGATTGATGTGGTATGGATGTTTGGTGATGCAATCAAGGGTCCATGTTCCTTGGATATAGGCAGGTCATGTACCGAGTTGACGGTTGGGATTGCAAGAGAAGAATGAATGTTTTGGATCATAAACCAATATTTGTTTATGCATTTTCATGAAATCCTTAATGTTAAAGTGGTTATGATTGGAAAATTTTCAGAGGTCTTCAGCTGAATTTCATAATTCCCTTAGGAATTGTTTGATTCTTATCTGGAAGATCATCATGTGTGTGTTATGCATTCCAAGAGTCAGGGACGGTTTGTACCTGGTTGAGCCAATTTGAGTTATGGTTTGGTTTCAATACCAGTGGGTGGTAGTTCGAACCCTAAGTGGAGGAGAACTGGGTATTCTGCTTGGAGGACCATCGATCTGTTTGAATTCGTGGTATTTGGAGAATGATTCATAGGGATCTGCGGTGCGAGTATGTTGGATCTCGGTTAAGGATTTGGTCAAGACAGGGGTATATAGTAAGCAGCTATCGGATGTATGTGCTCAGGAGATACATGAGTTGTCCCTCAGTAGAAAGTATTTGGTCAAGGAGCTTGTTGTAGCTATTGGTTCCTTTTTCGGGGTGCCAATGATTGGACGAGGAGTCGCTAGGATCACTCAGGTTGAGTATCGGTTGCTGAGGGAATTGTCAGCTCGCTGTATGGATTTCTATTTATAGTATAGCACGGGCAGAGGTCAATCAGGGAATCAGTTTCAGAGTTGGGTACGTTCAGCTCCGCGCGGGTTTTGTTTCATTAGATCTAATGTCAATGCGTCCTTAATTATTGGTCATTTCATTCATCATTCAACGGAGGTTCTCCAAAAGTTTCAAGTTGTGACAGTGGAAGTTCAATGGATGCGTCAACCTATCATAAAGTTCAGTATGTTTTATGTTCCTTTGGTCTCTGGGTGTGTCTACCCTCAATGGTGATGTGCAATTTTGGTTCATAGCAGGCTCGGGTTTTGGTAGCATTCAAGATCACCTTGGAAGTCTTCTCGAGCTAGTGCGTATTGGTGGAATTTGTTCAGTCTCAATCAAGGTATGGGGTCTTGTTCTGATCGTTCATGAGGATGTCTTCTGTTAATGATTGAGGTTTGTCGTTTCGATAAAAACTCTGGTATTTCTTCCCTTTTGGATGAGGTTATGGGTTCCCTAAGGGAGTGCTTTGTGGTAAATTCATTATATTTCCAAGAGGGGTATATATAGGGGCTGGTCAAGATATCAACGGAGCACTTGGTTCGAATTATATGCATGGTTCTTTTTTGGGGTTATAGCCTTTGAAATGGATAAAGAGTATGAATGTTTATACTATTCTTGGGTCGTGTGCGACCATGATTTCATAGGGTTTTGCATTGGTAGCAGCTTGTTATGTGAAAGGAATTGTGCATGGTAAAAGAATGTGGCACTGTTGCGCTCAGTTAGCGTTGAGAGGGATGTTGATTAAGTCCCTGTAAGGCAGTGGAATGAGGTTGAGTATCTTTAGGCCCCCGTGGTGCTGGTTGTGAGTTTCCAGTAGAATGATGGAATGTCGGCAAGATTGGTGTAATACCGAGAGCATTCCAGACATACGTTGTGGGCCAGTGATCATGATAGTTGATTGCGTATGCTTCTAGTACTTTCGTTGTTGGTGCATTTATGGAAGTCGGGAGACTCACAAACCAGTTGGTTGGATAAAGGGAACAATTAGGGGTTGTTGGGAGTATCAGTCGTGTATCAGAAAGTCTCTGCATAATGTTTGCATTATTAATCTCGTTTGTTCGCAAGCTGTTATTAGGGTTTGATTATCAAGGTTGGGTATCGGTTATGAAGTCTCGCATCATGAAGTTCTTTGTGAATGTCTCAAGTAATTTGTCAGGTGAGGGTACACCTGAGCTGATAAAGGTTGGAGACAAATGTGTAAATTCTTGGATTTCTCATACTTGCTTGTAGGAGTAGTGGTTGGATATGGCGTGTCAGAGAGTCGAGGGGTTATTAAAGGATTTTGGTACATCTTATGGATTTGGAATTGGTGGAAATTCGTGATTGATGTGTTTGAGTTCTTTTTTGCATGGTTGGTAGTAATCATACTCAAAGGCGAGGGGTGGATTCAACGAACGGATAAATGCCAGTCCTAGAATATGGGTTCTAAATTTTAGATCTGATGGGTTTCCGGTCTCGGGAATCATATTAATAAAGTTGATTCAGTGTTTGATGTGTGTTGAACTAACTGGTTTTATCCTACTTTTTTAAATATAAAATTGACACACAAAAGGCAGTGTACCTGTCAATTGGTGGTATAATTAAGTAAGCAGGGTATCGAACACAGGGAACGGCAAATTAAACTAATAACTAATATTATCTAAACAAATAATAAAATAGGGGTTTTCTCTAGTTTTGCAAGACTAGAAAACTTAACTTAACTTAACTAATCAACTAACAATTGAAAATACGCAAAAACCAACTAAATTCAATGACTAAAAGGGTTTCTGTTTAGGTTCAACTCATTTACTCCTATGATTAATTTTTATGGTAATGTAATAGATTAATTGTTATTTGGCTACCGATTAAGGTGATCAGATTCACATTCGTTATTACCATTCCTTAGAAAATAGATTAATTTAAGCAGTGATCAAGTGGTTAAACTAATAAATTCCCTAGTTTAATTATTCGGGTTAAATAAGACTTGTAATTAGCTAATTAAATTGGTGATTCAATTAACCTCTTGTTGATGGTGTATCACACAAGCTCACACATTAATTTACCCATTCTCTAGTTAATCCTAGTTTCATATTCACTAATCCTAGGCATATAGCAATGTGTTCACATAAATCATATGAGATAAGCAATTAAGAGATGTTCATGCAGCTTAATTACTTAGCAATTAA